GCAGGGTTTCAGGCAGGAGATATTTCCACTCTACCTGGAGATGTTGGGAATTGACCCTGAGACCTTCTGCATGCAAGGCAGTTACCCTATCACAGAGCTAAGTCCCTTTCCCTTGTCCCTGACTTATTCTTAAGGCATATTGTTTTCCCCTCCAATATCCTGTCATGCATTGAACTTTGTTCTTTCCTATTTTTAAAAAAATGAATATTCTAGGTTTTGTGATTCTAACGAAAGGGGATGTAAGAAGCTTCCCTAGGTTGAGTCAGATTCTTGATCCATAGAATTGTAGTGTTGGAAGCAGCTACAAGGGTCATCTAAGGAATCCAAACCCCCTGTTATGGAAGAAATCTTTTGCCCAAAATGGGGCTCATACCCACAGCCCTAGTTTAAGAGTCTCATGCTCTCCTGACTGAGCTATCCCAGGGAGCAGCGGCGTAGCGTGGGGGGTGCAGGGGGGGCCGGCAGCACCGGGCGCAACATCTGGGGTTAGGGCAAATCCACAGGTTAGGGGGCGCAAATCCACAGGTTAGGGGGCGCAAATCCACGGGTTAGGGGGCGCAAATCCACGGGTTAGGGGGCGCAAATCCATGGGTTAGGGGGCGCAAATTACTTGCCTTGCCCCGGGTGCTGACAACCCATGCTACGCCACTGCCAGGGAGAGATCTTGTAGCTCAGTATTGTCTACACTGTGAGAGGCTCTCCAATGTTTCAGGAAGGGGACAATTCACAACTCTACCTGAAGATGCGAAGGATCAGACTTGTGACCTTCTGCACACCCAGCAAATGCTCTGCCACTAAATTACAGAACTGTGGATTAGGAAGTCACAACTCACCTCTGCCATGAATTTACTCAATACCATTAAGCAAGGTCTCAGCCCTCCCCATCTGCAATATGGAGGGTGTTAATATTGGGTTGTCATAAAAGTTACAACTACATCAGTTTTCCTTAACCTCAGGTCCCTAGATTAGGGATGGTGCCATCAAGTCCAGCATCCTGTTTCGGACCAGTGGCCAACCAGATGGCAAAAGGGAAGCCTCAAAGCAGTATTGTTTAGATTGGCTGGCAGAGTCTCTCCGTGACTTCAGGCAGGAAGCCTCTCCCATCCCTGTCTGGAGATGCTAGGGATTGAACCTGGGACCTTCTGCATGCAAAGCAGATGCTCTACCGCCGAGCTACAGCATTTTCCCAACAATGACAGGGATGCACAGTGGTTAGAGTTTCAGGCTAGGACCTTGGAGACCAGAGATCAAATGCTCTCTTAGCCATGAAACTCACTGAGTGGCTTTGGGCCATTCTCCTTCTCAAACCTGGCCTAGCTCATAGTGTTGTTGTGAGGGAGAGGGGGGACCGCGTATGCCACCTCAGGCACTTTAGAGAAAAAATGGGAGAGAAATGTAACAGCAACAGTCATCATCTGGGGTTGTTCCTTCCAGGTAAGGGTCCTTTAAGGTTACAGCAGGAATTTATTGAAAGCCCTACCATTTACAGTATTGTATTTCCGTACCCATCTGCAAAAATGTGTCGTGGGCTAGTTGTGTACTTGGCATTGTCCCTCTGGTTGCCAAATCCTCTGCAGATAAAACTCTCTAGAATCTCATAACGGATCGGCAGCCAGAAAGTCAATATTTCAGCAGCTTCAGGAGATCACTGAAGTCCAGAGAGACTAGGCCAAGAGGAAGCACATTGATTTTCCTTTCGAGGGGAAATTGACCGGCAAAGAAAAGCTTCGTCCCTGCCCATTTAAATCGGGACAGTCTTGGTTTCCTACCAACCTGCAACTCCCAAAGGCTGTTCCTGATGAAAACAACAAAGAGTCCTTATGGCACCTTAAAGACCCACAGATTCATTGTTGCATAAAGCTTTTGTGGGCTGCAGCCCACTTTGTCAGATACATGAAGCTGTTGCCCTCAATTGGCAAAATACAAACATACCCAAAGGGGAGGGGCGGTGGTGTAAAGAGCAGAGTTAAATGGTCATGAATTGCAAGAGACATAATCAGGGACAGTCCTAGCCACAGTTCAGTTGTGTACTGGAGAGATGAAGTCACTATAATAAAACCGCTTCCGTGTAGACATGGCATAGCATCTGATTTCAAAACCTGCCTAAAGTATTGAACTAGGACCAGGAAGATCCAGGCACAAATCTTCACCTCGTTCTTTAAGATCAGGGGTGGGGACCTTGTGGGCTCCACAAATAGCTTTTGGACACCACCAGCTCCCATCAGCCCCTGCCAGCACAGCCAATGGCCAGGGGACACAGAAGTTGTGGGTCCTAGAACATCTAGGGAGCCACATCTCCCACACCTTGACTTCAGTCTCACCAGGTGACCTTGGGCCAGCTGGCCTGTTTCTACTCCTCAGCCTAATCCACCGTGCAGGACCACTGTGAGAACAAAATTGCTGCACTGAGCAGATCCATGAATGGCACACACAGAGGTTGCTGAACTATAACTCCCATCATCCAAGAATATTGATAAGGTGGCTGTGGGTGATGGGAGTTGTAGTTCAGCAACCTCTGGAGGCCCAAGGTTGGAGAACACTGCAATAGGTTGCTCCAGGTATCATAAAACATGGAAATTCCTCACTCCTGTGAGACAGTCGTACACTCATAGAAATAAATTGTTCATTGGACTAAAAGGACAAAGATAAGATAATCTGGTAGCATTTATTTATTTATTTACCGTATTTATTTTTTTAATATGGTAAAGGTAAAGTGACTCCTGACCGTTAGGTCCAGTCACGAACAACTCTGGAGTTGCGGTGCTCATTTCACTTTACTGGCCAAGGGAGCCAGCATTTGTCCGCAGACAGCTTCCGGGTCATATGGCCAGCATGACTAATCATATGGCCAGCATGACTAAGCCGCTTCTGGCGAACCAGAGCAGCGCATGGAAATGCCATTTACCTTCCCGCCTATTTATCTACTTGCACTTTGACGTGCTTTCGAACTGCTAGGTTGGCAGGAGCTGGGACCGAACAACGGGAGCTCACTCCATCACGGGGATTCGAACCGCTGACCTTCTGATCGGCAAGCCCAAGGCTCCAGTGGTTTAGACCACAGCGCCACCCGTGTCCCATTCAATATAGTAAGTACAGGCAATGCACATCTTACACTTCACTTATGCAATTGCAGCTTTGCATGGATGGGGGGGGGGAATAAATAAATGGAAGTGGGAGAAACCCACTGTTCCCTGCTCTCCAGTTATTTATTTTCCCATCCCACCTGCACACCCAGTGGGTTTCCTTCCTTGCCAGGCTCTGGAAATATCATAGGAGGGTCCTGCAAAGCTGCCAAAGAATCTTGTGCCTACATATATTCCTGAAGAACATACGCAAAAATGTGTTACGTCATGGGACATTGCTTTGCAAAAAATCTGCATTACATTGGGCAAAAAGATGTAAGACAAAATCGCATTAAGAATGTGCATCTTTGGCAAAACTCTCACAAAATGCTGGTGAATTTTCATGAGGGTGTTTTTGTTTGTTTGTTTGTTTGTTTGTTTGTTTCTGTTTGTTTAAAAAATACAAACTAATGTGAGGAACTGAACTTCAAATTGGAAAAAGCGAGGGAAATGGGAGTCACTGCAGTTGACAGATTCACCCACCCCACTTCCAGGGGTAAGTATAAGCCTCAGCAAACAGAACCGGTCAGCTGACTGGTGTCTGTAAGCAATGAATATGTATGGCCTGAAACATGGGAATGCACAGCTGTCCCTCACAGAACCTCTCAGCTTTACCAAAGAAAAAGACCAGGCATCCTATGTGAGCCTCGCATCATTTTCCTGCGTGTTTGAAACTGAGTGTGCATTTTAAGTGACAAGTTCACCTATATTTAAAGAGAGCACTCTTGTTAATTCAACACCCATGTCAAAGAGTGGATGTTATAGGCTCAATACAGGTCCAACGCCTTTCTTTTTTTTAAGATCCTCGCTTGCACATCCCTCAGTCTCCCGTGTGTTGCTCAGGAAAGCATCACCTGACCAAGAAGTGATACAGTTGAATGTTTCCAAGACTCTCTCAAGGTTTCTCGCATTACGTCATGTGGAAAACACAGTCTGGAGGGGGGGAGTATCATGGTATCTTGAACCCCCCGAAGGCAGCTTACTGCATGTTTAATGGTTGGTAAACTGACAGTTTTTTACACACTGTGATTCTGATGTGATTTGAAATTCACAAAATTGTTGATTACAAATCAAGGCCAGCGAAAGGTCAACGGATGCCCCAGATGGCTCCAGAGTGTACCAGCGCCTGCCTCTCTGCTCCAGTGCTTTGAAATAGGCACAGAGGAAAAAGTCAATTGTCCATTTGAATCAAATCCCCACCTGGATTTGCGATGTGGCGTGCGGAGGTCTTGCAGAGTCGGGAGTGCTAAGAAATGGAGTCTTGTTGAGGTCCAAATGTGCCTTCGTGCAAACAAATTTGTGGGGGCGGGGGGGACACCCACGCAGCAGTGTGTAAGGGGAGCGCTGTGCTGGCAGCGAAGGCCCACGGGTGTGGCAGGGATCCAAGATGGCCAATTTTCTTCTCGCCAAAGGCACAGAGAGCGCATCGCATTTCATCCGGCACACAACTGAACCATGCAAACAGAGGGAGTGACTGACAAGAGAAGGTCGCCAAAAAGTCATACGTGCCATGAGATTCTTGCACCAGGTGGAGGGTACAGCATGGGCATGTGGTACAGCGGCCACAAACCCAGCTGTGTTCCACATGCCTGCAGAAGACACTTGTCAGAGGCTGTAAGGGGTGGCCAGGGGCACTGGCTTTGCTTTCCTTTTATAACAACTGGACAAACTCAGGGAGAAGTAAGTTCATCACTGGTAGGAATCTGGGGAGAAATTGGTTCATCTGGCAATTTTATGCAGACATGCCTCATTTGCATTTCCCAGAACAGTGTGCAAACTGAAGTACACCTGTCCTTCCAAATTCCCAATTCTCCGAATTTGGCAGTGCAGATATCCAGCCAAAAGATGTGTCTAAAAAATGCGTATGTTAGAGGAAAGTTCACATAATAATGCAGATTTTATTGAAAATAGCACACTGGGTGAATATTGCTTACATGTGGGGGGGGGCAAAATTTCATACAAATGTGTATACTATAAGAAATGTGTACATTTTCATGAGGCTATATTATTATTATTATTATTATTATTATTATTATTATTAATCATCATCAAACTGATGCAAGAAGGTGTCAAACTGCACTCAAGACTGGGGAAATTCAGAAAAGGAAATTGATGTATTTCTTCAGCCTTGTTCACTGTTTCATAGCTTTGTTTCATAGCAACCTTCGCTTACCCTCTAGATGGCTTGGACTACAACTCCTATCGTCCCCAGGCTGCATAGCTAATGGGGAAAGATGATGGGAGCATTGAGATGGGATCTCTGCTGCCGAGTACCAGAGAGTAACGCCCAGATGAAGCAGGCCATACTGGGCCTTATTATTATTATTATTATTATTATTATTATTATTATTATCTCCCCAGATGTCATGGGATCCACAGCTCCCATCAAACCAGATCATTGGCTGTTCTGGCTGGAGCTGATGGGAGCTGGCATCCAATAATAGTATCTGGAAGTTGGGGGAGGCTGGCATGCATGACATGAAACTGCCTTGAGGGCCTATCTGTTCCAGGTGGCATCCTGACTCCCAGCCTTTTTCCATCCATGGTTGGCACCTCTGCTTATGGACAGCTCCATCCGGCAGTGACACTGCTAAGATGCCAAATATCTTGGCCTATCATCCCTATTGTGGAAGCCTAGTTATGGGGCGGTGGAGGTGAGCACTGGTTACATGGTGGTGACTGAAAGGGGTCCTCACCTCATGTTCAGAAACCCTCTTTATTATCACAACTGGCTCCCTGTTCATTTCCGAGCCCAATTCAAGGTGCTCACACTAGTGTCTGAAGCCCTAAGAAATGTCTGAATGACTGCCTACTTTCCTCCAGGCCTTCATGGGTGTTAAGATCAGCAGAGAGAAACCTTTTGCTAGCTCCACCACCCTCAGAAGCTCAGGAGAGGACAACCTCTGTGGCAGCGTCTAAGCTGTAGAATTCCCTCCCCACAGAGGTCTCTGAAAACTTCACTATACAGCTTTCAGCAAATGCTAAGGACACACCCTAGCTCTTGGCACTTGAGGTGTATGGGGTTTGGTTTTTTAGCTCCCAACTTATTTTTATGATTCTGAGTTGTTTTGACTGCTTCTAATTTTGAATTTAAAATTGTTGTAACCCACATGCTGGTGACGGTTTGGTATTAAATTTAATATTATTGTAGTTAGTCATAGTAATAATAGTATTTCATTATTGTTATTTCATGTTGTCTTTTAAAGGCAAGTCCCTTTCAGAGATGATATTGGAAGCTGCCTGGAGTGGCTGGGGCAACCTAGTCAGATGGGGGGTATTTTATTTTTATTATTATTATTATTATTATTATTATTATTATTATTATTATTATTAATGAATTGCTCCCCATGAAGCATCTCAAAAGGATTTCACAGTGCAATAAAAACTTATGGGATACAATCACTTATTCATTCCCCTCCCCAATATTAGTACTTTGGCTTTTCTTCAAGGGGTTCAGGGCCAGTTGCCTCATGACAGACCTGCAAGGTAGGCTAGGCACAAAGTCATCTGGGGAGCTGTAAGTTCAGAAGGGATTTGAACCCAGCTCCTCCTTCTTTCCCAAGTCCAAGTCTCCATCCACCATGGCAGCTCTCCCCCAGTTTGGCACACAGCACCTGTTTCCCAGTCAGCTGATAAAATGAGATAATGGGTGAAAGATTAACATAATTAGCTGGAAAGATAAAGGTTTTCTCTTTAATAGTGTTTCATTGCCATTTATCTGTCTGAACAATATTCCAAATTAAAATACGAAAAAGAAGCCTACTAAGCGAGCGAGCAATGAAGCTTTCTTCCTGGGAGAAGCTGTCAGAGTTTATGGGTATTCATTAAAATCCTGCCTTAATTGCTCCCTCATCAGCTATGAATTTTAAGAAGCTTAGCTACTAAGTGTTTAAATTCCGTTTATTGACAGAAAATAGAATATTCGCTAATGACTACTGGGTGATGAGTCAGTATTATCGTGCATAGTGCTTGCTTTACATACCTGTACAAAGGATGCTGGTTTCAAGATTTCACCCTTCCTGATGAAAGCCATCACTGTGGGTAGTCAGTCTGGAGAGCAAAGCGCCCAGACAATTTGAGCTGACTGGAGGAGGCCTCCTGCCTGTTTGCAGAAACTGAAGCGCCCTCAGAATGAAACAGGGTGGAATGAAAAAAATGCTGAGTGAGTCCTAGAGAAGGGGCCTCTTCACCTGTTACACAAGCAGGTGTGTGCCTGAGACTTTTTGAGTGTACACCTAAGTGTGACGGTTACAAATTGTGTGCTTGTTATGACGGATGGCTGCTCGGTTAAAGGAATCTGAGCCGACCACTGGGTTAATTAAGAACATAAGAAGAACCTACTGGAGCAGGTCAATGGCCCATCTAGTCCGGCATCCTGTTCTTACAGTGGTCAACCAGAGGCCTGTGGGAAACCTGGGAGCAGGATCTGAGCACAGGAGCAACTCTTCCCTCCTGTGGTTTCTAGCAACTGGCATTCAGAATCATTGCTCCAGCTATGGTGGCAGAGCATAGCCATCACGGCTGGTAGTCATTGGGAGCCTTCTCTTCCATGAATTTGTCTAATCCTCTTTTCAAGCCATCCACATTGGTGGCCATTACTGCCTCCTGTGGATGTGAGTTCCATAGATCATCTATGCACTGCATAAAGAAGGACTTTTTTTCTTTTTTTTAAGATGATCTTTTTTAAAATGCCGGAAGAAGGAAGGAGGGAAGTCAGCTCTTGAGAGCAAGAATAAATGTAAAATGTAATATAATATGTGTATGTATAGTATGGAATTATAAGAAGGACTTTTTTTTATCTGTCTTGAATTTTCCAACATTCAGCTTCAATGGATTTCCCTGCGTTCTAGTGTTTTGAGAGTGGGGGGATCTCAACCGAGCCATGCATAATTTTATAAACTTCTATCGTGTTGATTCAGTTTGCATCCAAGTAAAACAATTGTTCTGAAACAAGCTGAATATGATTACTTTCTTTGACCTTAGTTGCTTAGGAAGTTGCCTCATACTATTGCCAGACTCATGCAGAGCTGGCCTGACCATCATAGGTGCCAACTCCAGTGGGAGCCTGGGTGCCCGAGCACCCACAAAATTCCACCTTAAAGGGGCTGGGCACCCACAAATTTCAGTGCCAGGGCCATGTACACTGCATGGCACCCATAGCCCCAGGCACCCACAGTCATGGGGCCAAGTTGGCACTCCTGCGGACCATTGTTCAAAGGGAGGCAGCTGCCAGGTTGCATGGGGAAGCAGTAGTTCCCTCAGCCACCATTCACTCATTCGCAGGCTAGGTCCCCATGTTTCTCAACACTTGTGTTAAAGCCAGAGTTCATGAAGATGACGCAGTCTTTGAGAGATGGGGAGGGAGTTGTACTGGTTTAAGCCTGGCTGCAATCCTTTGTTATGTGGGTTGCTAATGTTGTTGTGCAAGCATGGTTTATGTATGAGTAGCTGGTTGATTGTTCAAAACGTCTTTATAAATGACTTGGATGAAGGAATTGAGGGGATGCTCATCCAATTTGCAGGTGACACCAAACTGGGAGGGGGAGCTAATGGCACAGAAGACAGAATCAGAATTCAAAATGATCTTAACGGATCGGAGAACTGGCGTGAGCTAACAAAATGAACTTCAGTAGGGGCAAAAGTCAGGTTCTGCACTTAGGCAGGAAGAACTAACTGAATAAATTTAAGATGAGGACACCTGGCTGCCAGTAGTACATGTGAAAAGGATTTAGTGGTCTTAATGGACCACAAGCTTCACATGAGTCAACAGTGTGATGCAGCAGCAAAAGAAAAGGGGGGGGGAGCTAATCAGTGGCGTAGCGTGGGTTGTCAGCACCCGGGGCAAGGCGCCCCCTAACCCGTGGATTTGCGCCCCCTAACCCGTGGATTTGCCCTAACCCCAGATGTTGCGCCCGGTGCGGCCGGCCCCCCCTGCACCCCCCACGCTACGCCACTGGAGCTAATGCTATTCTAGGCTGCCTCCACAGAAGCAGATCAAGGGAAGTGGACTCTCCTTCCTTAGAAGTTTTTCAGCAAAGGTTGGGTGGCCATCTGTCCTCGATGCTTTAGCTGAGATCCCTGCATTGCAGGGGGTTGGACTAGATGACCCTTGGGGTCCCTTCCAACCCTAAAATTCTATGATTCCATGAGTGGAGCAGCCTTTTAGTTGACTAAATCTTTATAAGCCAAATCTAATTAATCTGTTAAACCTGAGTTTGGAGAGGCCACTATAGTAATATTATTATTACTATTACTACTACTACTACAAAATGACCTATAATAAATGAATAATGACCTTATCCGAAGAAGAAGAAGAAGAAGAAGAAGAAGAAGAAGAAGAAGAAGAAGAAGAAGGGGTGATACTCTTGCCCTATCTGTTCTATTGCGAAATATATTTAAGTTTGAAAGGGGAGGGGATTTCTAAAAGAAAAGGGGGGAAACCTTGCTACATTTGTTCACTGTTGTGGGACAAACTTTCTCAGGTTACTTGATGTATTTATGGTCCTCTGACTTTCTGAAAATATGACCAGCAACAGGTCATAATTCTCTGGTGTGTGACCCTCCATTTTTCATTAGTGACCCAAACATATGAGCTATTGTGAAGAACTGTGTTGCGGGGGTAGGTTCCCTACCAAGTTCTCCTTTGAGACATATTTATTGAAACATTTTTATGACCTCTCAACGATGGTGTGTAATTTAAAGCTGTGGTTAGGAACTTGACTTTTAAGCAACAGGCATTGATCACTCTGACAGGGTTCCATTGTGAAGGAATCACATTTTCTCAAATGAGTCATCCTCTGACAATATCTTACAAAATCCCCCCCAAAAAAATCTCTCAGAAAAGGGGAGGAAGGGAGCAACCACCAATTTGCAAAGGAAAGGGGGGCGGGGAGCAAGGAGGGTTTTCAATTTAAAGGCTTAGTTTGAAGGTGAATCCAAAGCTTTAACTTTTGCCTTGGGAGCCGTTAGCAAAAAAAGGTAACCACTTCAGATGTGAAAAATGTGTGAATTTAATTAATGTTTTCTAAACAAGAGAAACAGTTTTAAAAGAGGGGGTTCTTTAAGCCATATGAGACCAATGTGTTGACTTATCAATGCAAATTTAATTAGCCCAATGCCAAATGCCCGTCTTCATCTAATTATCACATTTATACAAAGCTATTTTCACATCACTCTGAGCCTCGAAATGTTTTGTCATACAATCCAGCCCATTATTCGGGTGCAAAAGTCCACTTATAATAAGCCCAACATGCTCCTTTACTGGAGCAACTTTCAGGCACCGAAACTTTTTTAATTGAATGCAGGAGAAGTGATTAAATGAAATCTTTTCAGAAGGCCGTTCTGCCATCATCAGAGCCTCCCAGCGCAAGCAATGTTAACCAAGGCTGAGCTCAAGTTACAAGTGATCAAGGGTCCTGGAATTCTTTTTAAAAACACACACATACACATGCACACCATTTGGAGTTGTCAAAGGCTCAGGATACAAAGTATTTTGGAGAACAGGAGCACCTTCACACACACATACATGTAGAAGTGTGACATAATAGAAATTTATAAAGTTATGCATCATCCAGAAAGCGGATAAAGAAATGTTTTCTTCCCTCTCTTATTACACTAGAATTCTTGCAGAGAATTCCAAGAAATGAGAGTGTTGTTGCACTTGGGTTTTGCTTTTGCATATCCTGTGGGCATCTGGTTGACCACTCTGAGAGCAAGATGCTGGATTAGATGATCCCTTAGCCTGATAAGGCAGAATGATGCTCATTGCATCTCCTCTTGATGCCAAAATTCATTGAGGTCATCACCTAAGAGATTTTAAGCAAGTGCTGTGGGTGCCAATCACAAAGCGGCTGCAGAAAGGAAAAAAGAAAGTACCACGAAACAGTAAAAGCAGACTCCTCTCTCATCAATGGAACAACGGCAACTGCATCGGCCAATGCTGCAGTTGCTCTTTGCCTCTCTCTTCTGTTCAGAACAGAATGGGTGGTGAGTGTTAGGTCCTGTCATCCAATGAAATGTGGGCATGTTTAAAAAAGTGCATCCAACACAGAAGAGGTCTAGCAAGTGCAAAAACAAGCCAGGAGCAAGTTCCTCATGTGCCTGGAAATTTTTGATGGGATATTTGCTGAGATCTTTTGTGGGCACCATAAGTAGGTATTGGCAGGCACCCAGGCACTCCTGGCCTGCTGCTGGGGTGGGGTATGGAGAAGTGAGAGGAGAGGCTGACCCAGAAGCAACCTTTGAAGTACAGGGGAAATCTCCAGGTGACAGTACAGCAACCCTCTTCACTAAGGAGGGATTTGAACCCCATTCTCTCCACACAACATTAACCACTGAATCACATGGAAATATCAAGCAAAATGCTAAAGGAGGAAGAGGGTGGATTAGGGATGTACATAAGCCACAAATCTGCTATCTTGTATTAAAAGCTCCAATTTGTTTTGCTTGTTTCCCATTCTGTGCATTCGTGCAGATACAACTGAAAGAAACCATGATTCCCTCCAGCAATGGCTTTCTTGTAGTTTCTTGCCCTTTAGTAGGTTTCCAGAGCACCACCTCAGTTTCCTGTGCATCAATGAAGCTATTATCCCCATTTGCAGCTGTTCCCCTGTTGTCTGTAATATTGTCT